TGAACATGTTCTTTTTCCTACCTTCTTTTACTTTTTTGCTTTCGATCGAGATTCCTCATTCAAGGTATGTTCTTGATTGGCTTCTTGTTTTATGATGAAAGGAAAGAGAAAAGGTGGCATTTCTTAATATGCTTTTCTAATTAATCTAAAGATTCTTATGATTTTTCTTTATTATTATGTTCTTGTCTTTCGTGTTGGCTATATTTGGCATGGTTTGGTCTTGGTTTTCAGAGTTGACTAGGGATGAAAGTACATTAGCGAGAAGAAAGGAGGAAGACAATAAGCTGCCGTCAAACCCTGAAGAAGTGGAAGATTTTCGTCGTAGTTCTGCGACTAATCCTTTAATCGTTTTCACATTTGATGAACTTAGAAAAATCACGGGTAATTTTAGACAAGATCACATGCTAGGTGGGGGTGGATTTGGTAATGTTTATAAAGGGTTTCTTGAAGACGATATAAAAGAGGGGATTCAGCCAATCCCGGTAGCTGTTAAAGTTCATGATGGAGATAACAGTCAGCAAGGCCATAGAGAATGGCTGGTAACAAAATCTCTCTCTCTCTCTCTCTCTCTCTCTCTCTCTCTCTCTCTCTCTCTCTCTCTCTCTCTCTTTATATATATATATATATATATATATATATATATATATATATATATATATATATATATATATATATATATATATATATATATATATATATATATATATATATACCAGCCCTATATGGCCATATATATAAATTTAGGTATTCAACTCTTAAAACTTGGTTTTATTCAAATTAGAACTTCCACTTTATTTATCTAATTTCCAACTTTAAATAAATTGTAATGCCTAGATTAAACTAAAGGGGATTATACGATACGTCTTTATACACAATTAGTTTCTTTTCATTGAGTCGCATCAATCGTACTCTTCTAACACTCAATTAAATATTCAATAGTTATATTAATAATTGTTAATCATTGAACAGAAAATAATTGTGTAAACAAATATTAAAAAATGATTGTAGAAACCATTTTTTATTTAAACAATTTTCTACGTCTTTCCTTAAAGAACTTGTTTTTCTAAACTTTCTTTTCTTAAATATTGAAGATGAGGGTATCTTAAAGATGTACTCTTAAAACTATGGAGAAAATCTGGATTTTGGAAGGAGTAGAGCAAAAATAGAGATGAGTGTATACAATTTGAATAAATATACATCATTTGTGTTCTCGTTTGGTTTTGTTTTTATTACTTTGAGTGTGCAATCGTTTATCATTTGTCTAAGTGTTTAAATACTAACAATAAGTATTAAGTTCACGTAACAATTCCTTAGATGAGGCAACGTTGCAACTTGGAAGTGAATCATCGAGACTAATACTCTTATCTTGCAAATATTACAATCAACTAGTTACTGCTTAGAAATAGTATCTATAGTATCTTAGAAATAGTAAATAGTATCTATAGCATCCACAAGTTCAAAAAAAAATTGAATGAAATACTATAATTATAAAATATCATATTGGTATTCAGTAGATAAAAAAAAATTAACTATTAAATATATATTCCATTAAATTCTTAAATTTTATTGAGTTTAATATATTAATATTGTAGAAAAATTAATATAAAATTATATAACAAGTAAAAATAATATTATGTCAATCCATTAAGTTTAAATAATTTTAATGTATTGATCTATTATGGATACCCATACATACAGTGTCATCATCTATTATAATCATTCTAAACAACTTTTGTTTATTCGAGCAACAGAATTATATTTTGTTTGTGTATCAAACGATTTGCATTGTTTTATATATACATATGAAAAAAAAACATATACATATACCTCTTGGATCTATAGTGACTTTTAGTGACTGAATATATTCCGTCACTAAAAAGATCAAACATAACTACAATATTTCCTTATAACTTTTTTTAATGCACATTAATTAATAACTACAATTTTCGTTCACTACTAAATTAAAAGTCATTGATCCTGCATTCACAATATCAACGATTAGTTTTTCTTTTTTTTCGGTGCTTAACAAGGTTGCCCAGGGGTACATTTGAGTAACCCCGCACAACGGGTGAGTGTCTCAACGGGTATCTTTGTCTCAACTTCAAGCATCCCAGGGGGATGTTGTATATTACCACCTGATGGTATGAAAAACGCTCCATTTAGCAAAATATCATGTTCCGATTTCCAATTCCATGTCTTCCATTCTGCCTCAGTGGCCTCAGCCCTTCGTGTCACCTTCACAACATATCTTTTCGTTAGACAAATCCAAAACGAAAAGAATAATGAAAGTTTGTATATATTAATATTAACATACACAAAGTCCATGCTAATAACAACTTTTCAATACCTGTTTGTATTGTTTGTCATCAGGAGCCATAAATCGGTTACCTTGGCTAAGGATTGTAGGTTTATCCGTACCACCGATAGCATACATTTGCCATTTGTCATAATCATTATTAACCACGTGTGTAAAACCACATCGACACCTAGGCAATCTTTGGACACATCCGCAACCAAACTTGTTATATGCAACAGTGACTTTCATGTTCATTTCAAGTTCATTACCTACCCCTAGCAACATGACCTGTTCATATGTTAATCACAAAGTGTACAAGATTAGATATAATATACATAAATCTACGTACTTTGTCGTGATCGTTGAATATGCAATTGGAAATGGTTACGTCTGTGCCACCCATTGTAACATCTATAAGCCCATCTGCACCATGATCGAGTGTACAATGATCAATCCATATCTTGGAAGAACCAAAGATGCAGATACCATCGCCATCGCTTTTTGCTCTTGGCCCAGAATGTGTATCTGAATCCTTAATCACTCCCCCTGGTGTTTCTTTTATATGGTGTATGTGAATCCCATGAATGATGACGTTCTTGACCTTCATTATGGTGATACCAGCACCATTAGCGATCTGGACGCATGCACCCCTACCATCGATTGTCTTGTCACCAGTCATTACAAGCTCATGTTTGAGTGTAATCGTCATATCTTTCTTGAAGATGATCCATAAAGGTCTGTTTTGGGTAACACCACACCGAAGTGTCCCTGGTTTTGGATTCACAGCATCGTCATCCGAAGGATCGGTGACCTCGTAGATTTCTCCGCCCTTTCCGCCGGTGGTTCCTTTTGCAAAACCGAGAGCGCAATCGGCTAATAATTGACGGTTTTGTGCCCAATCGGGTTTGCATCTCCAGCACTTGTCTATTTTGTTTGTTGCTTCGCATGCGGTATGTAGGCCCCTCCTTGTTGAATTTGCTCCGAGAATAGAGCTACACGAAAGTTACATATAAATAAGAGTTGATATATACGAGAGGTAACTAAATTCATATGCCTATATAGGTTTATCAAAAATATATATACTCACCCTTCATCTTGTATGGTCCTAGCTAAAATACCCGACACCATAAAAACAAAGGCATGGGTGAAAAAAAGAAGGAAAGAGGGTTTTCCCATTGTATCCACCCTTTTTACGATCTTTTTCCTCAAAAAGTACCTAAAATATTGTATTGCTACGAATCTAAAAGGAATCACTAGCTTTATTATTCCATATACACCAAAAGCAAGTGATTCGTTTATTATGTATTTTGTTGGAGATAATTTTCTTCGTTTAAATAAGATGACTTTGCTTATATATATTTAGTAATTATAAACAGTTTACCCAAAAAATTGTGGTCACAATTTTCGCTACTAACAATGGACAGAAAGAGAATATACAAAGACCGATAAAATTCATATATATTTTCCTCGGTCGAAAAAAGTCACTACGTATATATAGTGGTTGTGGGACGTTCTTCTATATATATATATATATATTAAAACTCATAATTGTTAAGAGTCAAACGATTGACCATTTCTTATCATACATGTATACATGCTTAATTTGGGTATATGTTTTCCGAATTATATTCCAAAAATAATAGCTCTTCTGTGCTTTGTAGGCCGAGGTTATATTTTTAGGGCAGCTTACTCATCCAAATTTAGTGAAATTGATTGGATACTGCTGTGAAGATGAGCATAGAGTGCTTATATACGAATATATGGCACTTGGAAGCGTGGAAACTAAATTATTTTCGAGTAAGTGCTCCGTGAATTCGTGTAGATTCTAATATTCCATAGAAATTTAACGATTATATTGAGAGTTGTTAAAAAAAATATATTTTAGAAGGAAAGTGTACTACTTTTCAAGAAAAAGACCAATAATCACATTTGCTATATCTAAAAACAAAGTGATTTTGCTTACTTTACAGCTCATAAGAAAGAATAATTTGACTACAAAAGTTAGAAAAAAGTTCTTGTAGCTTTTGTTTTGTGGTTTAGCTAGTTTCTTGAAATGTTATTGTGTTGTAGGGGTGTTGCTTCCTCTTCCATGGTCAACTAGAATGAAGATTGCTTTTGGTGCTGCAAAAGGACTTGCCTTTCTTCATGATGCACCAAAACCTGTCATATATCGTGATTTTAAAACTTCAAATATTTTGCTAGACCCGGTTAGTACACAAATACTCAACAAAACATATATTATTTAATCATTTATTGCGTCATTTGGAATTTCTTGACTAATTATTATGTGGGCATATAGGACTATAATGCAAAACTTTCCGATTTTGGGCTAGCGAAAGATGGTCCTGTTGGAGACAAAACTCATGTTTCTACTCGCATAATGGGAACATATGGGTATGCAGCGCCCGAGTATATTATGACAGGTTTGTTAACTTTCCCCAGTTAGACCCTCTTTCTTTTTCTATTAAGTGATGTCATAAATAATGTTTCTTTCTTTCTTTTTTCCATTAAGTGATGTGATAAATACTGTTTCTTGCTTTCTTTTTCCATTAAGTGATATGATAAATTATGATGTTTCTAAGACATTGGAGACAATAACGCCAATGGAAAGAAAAAAAATTAGGACCAATTTGTAAAAGGTTGAAGACTTAATGAGAAAACCTCATTTCTTGGATAGTCCAAGTTAAAAAGGAAATACCCACTTAGCGTTTACCAAATTAAGAGTTTGTTTTTTTGTTTCAGAGTGTAGAGAGTTTTAAATGACTATCTAGAGTAAGTGTTCTACACATAAATATCGTTTTCTAGGCAAATGAAGTAATTGCGTAAATGATAATCAAGTAAATGGCTATTTTACCGGCACTCTAGAAATGAAGCTCAATAAAAATGATTGTTTATTTGAGAATTGTTATAAATTGAAATTATAAATGATAAAATGGGAAAAAAAAAATGCAGCAACGTAAATAATGATACAAATACAATTATATCCATCAACATGATTATATTTAAATTGAATATAATATTTGATGACAACATAAATGAGTCTTCTATGTAACAAGTCAAAAAGAAACAAAAAGACCCATTTCTCTTATTTTTCCGTATTAATGTTTAATTATAATGATCACATAAGATATGGATTAATCCACATAATATGTCTGAATAAAAGTAAAATAATCATTTTATCCTCCTATCTCCATCGAGTAATTAAAAAAGAAACAAAAAGTTAGTGTCATCGGATCACAAAAATGTAATACAAGTTAATTGGAAGGGGTTGACTAAAAAGATATCCTAAATATGGACATCCTAATTAATTTTTTAAATTTTTTATTGGCTGAAATTGCATTGTTTTCTGGAAAAACTGATTATAAACAGTTAATTATTGGTTGATTTTTTAAGTAGTGATCAATAGGTATCCAAGGGGTGTTTTATTAACAACACCCTATTGGAATTGAATCGATTTTTTGTTTCTTACATGCTAATGACATATTCCTCTAATTTTAGGCCATTTGACTCCAAGAAGTGATGTTTATAGCTATGGTATCGTTCTTCTTGAACTTCTAACTGGAAGAAAATCATTGGACAAATCAAGGCCACCTCGAGAACAAAACCTTGCAGATTGGGCTCTCCCATTACTTAAAGAAAAGAAGAAGTTGCTAGACATCGCAGATCCTAGGCTAGGTGATTACCCTATCAAAGGGTTCCAAAAGGCAGCCATGCTAGTTTACCATTGCTTGAATCGTAATCCGAAAGCTAGACCACTTATGCGGGACATAGTAGATTCTTTGGAGCCGCTGCAAGTTGCACCCGAAGTTTTGTCCCAGGGAACTACCTTGACTTTGATTGCTGATAATTAAAGATGCAAACTATTTTTCAAACTACTATATTTTTTTCAATTCTTTTTGTTTTCAATCATAACATGCAACTTTTATGGTTACTTTGGCAACTTATGTTGTAGTGTATATGGAAAATGAAGATGTGTTTAAAATGGGATTGGTATGTTCTTATGATTCGTTACTAGTCCTTAAAAACTTCATCAATAGAGTTCGGCTTGTAGCACATCGTTGATTATCAGGTTGTGTATTGCATAAATGATCAAGGGCTTGAGTATTGACGCTATATATAGTGTGGGATTTTTAATTCCAATGTGAATTAGTCACCTTGTGGACATTACTAGTAGCTCTTATTCCATCTATCTAGCATAGTTTATATCTTCATTACATGATGTCATGATGATGCCTAGCTATTCCAGAAAAAATTTCAGCAATATTATGTTTTCTCTTTTTTGAAAATGTCTTCTAAACTAGGGAGATAAGCCATGTGGTGCCAGTTGAGTTGAATTTGAATTGATGGTGTTACAATGTTAGGCTAAGCTTGAACTCAGTTTGATAGTTGAATGAGGTTTTCTATGTAATTAAGCTTGGGCTCGACTTTAGAAAGATTCGAGCTTGAATACCTTGAAATTTTTTATCTTAAATATGGTCCATAAACTAAGATTGACATGCCTCTATACTTAAATTTGCAAATTGCAACGTCTATTATTTTTAAACTGTTTTCCAAAAGAACATCTATACTATGTTTGCAAATCGAAATGTCCATTTCGAATCTAATGTCACCATTTTTCCATCAAATGTTTGATTTAGCGTTCTAATATCATAGTTCTAAATTGTTATTTTCACTTTTATTAACAATCTAACTGAAATCAACTTTTAATTATTGAATAAATTTTATAATTTTTTTTAAATGACTAAATTATTTGTTTAAAGAGATTATAAATCTAGAATCAAAATTTGATATGAAAATATATAGATATCATAGTGAATTTATAGGAAAAAAAAGTTGTAATTTTTTTTAATATTTTTATATGGTATAATTCTTGGAGATAAGAAATCTTATTTAGATATAGTTTTTTAGGTTTTTTAAATTTATTTTTTTTTTTAAAAAAAAAGCTTTTATTTTATTCTTAATAAATCATGTACAAAAACTAATAAAGAAATAGCCAAATAAAGTTATGGTGAACTAACCATTACTCGTTTTGTTTCATAAAAATAACGTATAATTTTTTCAAAAATTATTTTCTAGAGACGGTTAATTCTTTTGCGCAAAGAGTTTAGTACATCTAAACAATTATTAATAAGAGTCATGCTAACAAATACGAAATAAAAAAGAATGAGCTAGGATTTTTTACAAATGCTTAGGATTTTTTACAAATGCTTACAAACACATGATTAATTGTACATTATTGATCGTATGACGTTTTTTTATACACCACATTTGATGTATAAACTTTATTTCTTTTGAATTGTTCGTCAGATTTCACTAATATTTTTTGTATTGACACACGATACCCTCTGGACAATGTCCCATAAAATTAGTCATACGATAAATACCTACATTTGGAATTGTTTGTTCCAAATTTTTATTTATTGTCACGTAATGATACTAACATAGTTTGTTTTATTATTTAATACATTATATATTAAACACGTTTTTTTATAATAATAATAATATATTCTTCTCATTTGGTTTTTGGACAGTGACACTGATTTAACATGGGACTTCCAAATGATACCATTTAACCTATTTAATCTTCTCATATGTATTGTAGAAAGTTGTTTTGTATTTGGATGGTGTATGGAAATCTTTGTTCTTACACCTAAGCATGATCATAGGCGGGTACCTAGCTGAAATGCTTAGAATAAGGATCGTCGATTCTTGGAATGTTGGAACCAACACCGTTCTTTAGATTTTAGAGCATGTTCGGTACCAAATATTGTTTCTTTACAAAACTAAATCACAAAAATCTCATTATTAGTAAACTAATCTAAACTTATTTATTAAAAATATCAAACATTAATACAAATACAAATTAAATTACAAAATTAGTATAAAAATATGAAATATGACTACCTTATAATGTAGAGAACTCGTCAACATAGAAAGTCGATATTTATACATAATAAGTTATCTTTTTCTAGTTATTTATTATTTCCTATTTTTACAAAAATAAATCAACTTAAATGAAAATTTTGTATGTGTTACAATATATCATAACTAAATAATTAAACATATTATCATGTCACCATCAAGTAGTGTGAAGCGGTGAACCTTCTCATCTAAACCCTTGCAAAAGAAAAAAATCATTTTATGTTACATGTTTCATTATTTAGTTTCCATAGAAATCTCATTTGTACCATTCAGAACACAAATTCTATCGATTAAATAACACTCATCCATGTTAATTAACACCATATATCTGGTCCCATCAGCTTTCCATTTATCATAATAGTAACGCTGCCTAAGAAGTTGCAAATTCTCCCTACACAT